TAGGTTGCTCCTCGTAAAATCCTTCAAGACAACTGGTCTGTTTTTCAGAGTCTGTGGTTTTACTGCTGCCATATACATCTTTAGAATATGTATCTTCTGATTTCAGAAGTATGTTTGAGAGCTGCCCTAAGGCCCCTAATGATTAAGAAAGGAAAACGTCAGTGCGTGCCTCCACATATAAGATTGAATGATGGTTCTGATATATAATTGAATGTACCAAGAGGAAACCAAAAATGTGAATCATAAATCACCAACCAATGACCCAGCTCACCGCCAGAAGAGCCAGAACAATATAAAAAAAAATTCTAAACTAAGCTGCAAGTAGACAAGTCGACTCATCTTTAGTCATGATTTATAATTGGATGCACCAAGGCAATCCCAAATTACATATCACGCTTATTCTTTGGAGAGAGAAAAAATACTAATTATACTCCCATTATCCATCACTTTGCTAGCTATCTAGCTTGCACATGTGGTAAAAAGGAAAATAAGGAAAAAGAAAAAGAAAACACATAATGCAAAAACAACTCCTATTTAGCCAGTTCATTGTATTCTGGATTGAAGGAACTCAAGAAAGGCAATACTAATTCTAAGGCATATAAATTGTTTGCCCATTTGGTAGATCGGTTTCCAAAAAATATCACCTCTTTGAGAAATTCAGTAGAAAATTACTTATTCTATTAGATTAATATAGCAGCTGGCAAGGGTCCTAGGTTATATAGCACAATACACTAGGTTATTCACATTGAAGAACAGATGATGATTAGAAAACATAGAAACCTGGCCAGATACTGAAGCCCCTTTTTGCTCCAACCACATTGCCACCATCTTGAAGATAGTTTACAAGAGGGACTCTAAAATCTCTCCCTCTGTGCTGATACCAAGCTCCAGTTTCTTCATCCTATACCACCAAATTCCCACAACATAGAGAAAAAGAAAACAAAACTTTTGCCAAATTTCATAAATATTGAAGGATCTTTGGTTATCCAAGTAGTAAATTTTTAAAATCAAAACCTTCAAAACAAAATTTATAGCTGAAATTGATCTTTTCATATCAAGATCAATCTTCACTTCATGAAATAGATCTCCTTCTGATGATTTCTTCAAAGGTGTCTCTATTGCATAGTCCTGACAAAATATACTAGAGTTACGTGTATTGGAAATAAAAGAAGAGCCGAGCAACCGAACACTAGATAGCAGTAGATACCTTGATGGGAATTGAGCCCGGGGGCCTCATATCCTTAGGCGGTTGATCCCATTCACTGCAAACAATTGGCAGATTATATATTATATTACAATTTAAGGAGTTTACTTTTTCCTTCATTCCCTCATAAGTAACCAAATCTGAAAATCTGAATAGGAATTTACAAAACCAAGCAAGGATAACCTGCCCATGTCATCGATGTAAGAAACTCCCCAATGAAGAATCCACTTCCCTGGAAGACTGCATCCCACAGAGAGCTGCCAATCCTGTCCATTGGGCTGATCTAATCTAACGAAAATTTTTCCTTCCACCTATCATACCAGACACAATCGAATGAAAAGCCAAGTAAAATTTCTACTCGAAAAAGCACACAGAAAAAGAAAAAAGGAAGCGATCATCTTCGAACTATCGGTAAGCTCAGGCTCCGTCTTAACTGCCCCAAACTTTATGAAGAGCCAAAATTACGAAAAAAAGAATAATAAAGCAAAGGAAAAAAGTTAAATATCTCTTTCTATCTCAATTCCTTTAGCAACGAAAACATGAAGTAAAACCGCATTTAATTCGTTTTCTACGACAAAAGCGTTGAGATGAACCAAAGAGGATCACGGCGCGAATTAAAGCTACAAACATTTAATGAACTATATACTTATGTGCATGTAAGCAGTATACACGAGTATACAAATATAGATACAAATATGTACATATCTGAATGTGCACACGCATAACATGGAGAGGAGTTAAGACCGTTTCAGTTCGCTTTAGAGGAAAAGTCTCCTTGAAGAAAATGTCCGTTGATTGGAAACTCGCGACGGAAGTGGAGGCAGCTCGGATTGAGAGGAGCCTTTTGGGCTTGAAGCTGAACAAGTTGCTGCTGCTGCTGCATCCATTGAAAATGAGCTTTGAAGAGTAATCCAGAGAAGAAAGCTTAAGTAGCTTGGTTTTGAGACGGATCCCAGGACTTTCTCTGCGACAATGATGAAGAAGAGGATCTATAGTAACAGTCGACATGGTCTCTTGATCCAACGAAGGTTCAGGAATGGAGGAGAGAGAGGCGGAGGGGAGATGCGTATTTTTTT